AAATCCTGTCTCAAAAAACAAAACAAGACAACAACAGCAAAAAGGCCTGGATTTGAGTCCAGCCTTTATTTGAAACCCATTTACGGATAAAGGGCTCATAACATTTTAAAAAGAATTACTCTTATTTGTGTGTGTCTATATATAGTACATGCAGTCTGGAAAAGGTCACTGGATCCAAACAGGCAGCTGTGAGACTCCCAGCATGGGTACTAGGGACCAAACTCAGCAAAAGGTAGTATGTGCTCTTAACCACAGAGGCATCACAGGCCTGGGGTTTAGAACTTTTCGAAGTAATGCATTGAATGAAGGTTCCTCTTTTTCCCTCACATGGAATGACTCAAGATCAAGAGAAGAACGAGATAGATTCCCACTCCTTTTGAGAAGCATGGACATTGTTTGAAGATAAAAATCCCCGGAGCAAGAGAACCAACACAAGAAGGCTTCACCAAAACACAATGGTGTTTTTACCCTACACCCACAGCTCGACAAGTACGGAAGTAGTAATTGTGCTGCAGTTCAGGACAGTACCTTTCGAGAGTGGGAAATAACCTACAACCAAACTATCAGATTTCAGTCTGTTGATACTGGATGACCTTTCAATCCGTATGATACTGGGCATGTCTTTGGTTGGGAATTTTTTTTCTTCCAAAAGTACCCTAGCATAAAAAGGATTTTTGTATGTCTGTGCAGGTCTTTTTATTTCCAGAATTCTTGACATAGAATAAGGAACTGGAAGGGGATTTCAAGATCTCTGTATTAACCTTCTTCTTTTGCGGAGAGAAATTTACTGAAAGTGGTAATTTCCTAGGGCTTGCTTTCAGTTCTTCTAACATCATAAGATTTCTTGCTCCACACTCTAATTCTTTAAAAGCACATTTGCTTCCTAATTCTCTTCCTCACTGACCACTGGTGGCATGCTAAATTTCTTAAGGAAACTCATTCTTTGTTTGCAAAATGCGTGTCCACCATTGCACAATAAGGAAAGCAGAGTGAGCATGAACAACCACTGGGTTGAGGTGTGGTCTGCCTTATACAAAAGTACCTAGAATTCTCAATTTTTTTTTGAGTGTGTGTTTCCAAGGCTGGAGAGATGCCTCAGTTTGTAAATCGCTTCCTGCATAAGAATGAGGACCTCAGTTCTGATCCCTAGTGCCCACATAAAAACTGAGGGGGGGGGCTAGCAATAAGAACACTTGCTGCTCTGCTCTTGCTGCTCTTCACAGCATGCACATAGGAGCACATAATCATCTGAAGTTCTAGTCCCAGGCAAGCCAATGCCCTCTTTTGACCTCTGAGGGGCACCAGGCAGGCATGTGCTGCACATATACACACACAGGCAGAACACTCATACACTCAAAATAAAATAATGTCAAAAATTTAAAAGCAGTGTATACTTTTAATACCAGCCCATCAGAAATGGGCTGATTCCTGAAACTCTCTGGCCAGCCAGTCTAGCCTGACCATGTAGGCCCAGAATAGCCAGAAACTCCATTTCTAGACAACAACAATAAAAGCCCCAAACAATAAGAAAATAACCTCATGTGAATGGCAGCTGAGGATTAATACCAAAGCTGACCTCTGGTCTCCACACATACTCATTCATATGCACTTGTGTCCATGTGAACACACGTATAAATATATGGACACAAAAATCCCCCAAATCCTTGACTATAGGACGAAGAGAGTGATGGAGGGGTTAAGCACACAAGCTGTTCTTTCAGAGTATGTCCAGTCGACACATAAGTGGACGAGATTTTCAACTCTCAAAGCTAAATGGAGCACAGACAGAGGTTTCATATCAAGCTGTCTATTTAAGACACTTGTTGGGGGGAAGTCATGACTATTTTATAAGTGTTTCTAATACTTAGGAAAGCCTCATCACTCCAAGGTCTATTTTGAAGATGAGCAAAGTAACAGTAGTTATAATTCTGTGGAGAAACTGAAGGAGTCCGTGTGAAGGCTATGTTTCAGAAACAAAGCTGAAGATGGGAAATTCTAGTGTGGGCAGTAGCCTTTACCAGAAGAGATAATTAGACAAGCATATCACCCTAATGGGTTTCCACACCTTTTGTCTGTTGACTCTACAGGGATAAAGATTTGATTACAGAATTCCTAGAATGAAAGATGATCAAGAAGAGCCTCAGAATTTCCACAATTCTGAGAAAGGTGCGTTCAGTAACCCGCTGTGTTGGCAACATCAGGGAGAATTCTTTTTTAACCACATCCCAAGGCCAGTGATATAGAGACTAAAACCACCCAGGTTGACTAATACATCCCTTGAACCACATCACAATTTTAAATGGTGGCTTTGGAAATTTTCAGAATGAAAATCTGCCTTATGAATCAGCTAGAAATTACATCTGTTGACAGTCTGTTTTATTTTGTTAAAGACTTCTCTCTTACCCCTGAGGAATAGAAAGACTTGTTTATCTTTCTAAACTTTTTAATATTTAAGATATATATATATATCATATATATATGTATGTATTTATATATGTATGTGTCTGTGTGTGTCTGTGTGTGTGTGGCCTGCATGTACTCTATTCACCATGTGTGAACAGTGCCTATGGAGGCCAGAAGAGGTAGTCAGATGCTCTGGAACTGGAGTTACAGATGGGTGTGAGCCACCATGTTGGGTTCTGGGTCTTTTGCAAGGGCAATGGGTGCTCTAAACCAATAATGATCCATCTCCCTATCTGCATTGATTGTTTAAACCTGACTCTTCCTGGAGGAAAAAGAAATCTTAAAGGAGATTATCTTTTGCTCTGGGGTAGTTTCTGAGCTGCTTGCTGACCTCAGAAAGCCCAGCTATTTTATTCTCTTTCTCCCTGGGAGTCAATTTGCCTCTTGACACGCTTCCTTGCACCTGATACCCTAATCTCAGACACCGTCACCTTTGGTCTCGTTTGCAATATCAAAGGACAAGCTGGATGTGAGCCTTGCAATCATGATAATCTGTCTTTGGGGTTATTCTGCTGATTTATGACTCGCACACTGCAAAGTAGTTATAACTTGCAATAAAATGCATATGTCTGATGCCTCAAATGTACGCTACAAATGGTATCCCTTCACATTTTCAAGAAGTTTTTTGTGGCCTACCAAATACAGTGAAAGCATTTTAAGTTGTGGGCTAGGAATGCAGCTCAGAGGTAGAGTGCTTGTCTCACATGCTTAAAGCCTTGGATTTCTATCCCCTGCAACACAGGAAAAGAAAAAGTTTGAACTTTCTGTACAATGGTTTAAATCCTTTCATCTCATTCCTATCTTTCTGTTCTTCACCCAGTGTTTCCATATTTCTGTCCAAGGAAGAGAATACATGAGACCACTTATTGACTCTCCAGTCCCTTCTATGTATTGGTCCATGTATATTCTCATGTAAAAATCTTTTCTTATGAAAATGTACCAGTCCCCAGGGCTCCACTGACATGCTACCTTCATGAAGTCTTCTCTGACAGCCCTACACTCCTGCAGCACTAAGTACATTCTAATACCGGCACCACCATCATTTCTCCAGATGCGTGTGCAGAAGAAGTATTAGTGTTTCACAAAACCAAGTAAATGAGCCCTATGTAAGTCAGTCACAGCTCATAACACAAATTTACTTGAAATGCTTTCCCCACAGACAGAATATGCTTGATTGCAAAGATTTGATTGTTCTGACTTGGACTGGCTTGGCAAAGGTGCTGTGGAGGGAGAGATGGCATTAAAAGCTTCCTAAAAGCATAAAAAACTAAACTCCAAAGCCAAGATGCTTCTACAGCTGGCCACTAAGTGGTCCAAAACAGTATGGTCACTGGCTCCCAAGTTAGCAACCAAACTTTGAGTACAGGTCATAATTTTTCTCTTCTCAACACATTTTTTTCTGGAATCATTTAAATAATTTTTTTCCCTGAAATCCAATACATTTCTAGAAATTAAGAATGTGAAATTGTAGACTTTCAAAAAAATATATTTTCAGTCTAGTGTGGTGGTACACACAGAATCAGGTGGATCTTTATGAGTTTGAGGCCAATCTAGTTTACATGGGAAGTTCCAGGCAATCCAAGACTACATAGTGAGATGCTGGTATCTCTCTGTCTCTGTCTCTGTCTCTCTCTCTCTATATATATATATGTGTGTATATATATATGAAAATTCATCCCAATTAAGAAGAATTGTTTGGTATCTGAGTTGGTCACTTTTATTTCTTAAGATAATATCTGAAAAATCCATGTTGATTGAATTCACAATTTACATGTATACATAGAGAAGCTACATAGAGAAGAGCAGAAAAATAGCATGAGCTGAAAATGAGTATATTTATGTTTTCTGACTTTGCCATAAAAATCACATTCACAAGGAACTTCCCAAGACAGCAAAACCAAAGCATTCCTGGGATGAAGCATTTCTGATTAAAGATGACTTTGAGACGTCTGTAGTAGCTCTTTAGATTTATCATACAGTTGTTTTTGGGGATGTAGTAGAAGAATAAAAGAAAATGTATTAGCTGGGTATGTTGGCCCAGGCCTATAATCCCCGCACTTGGGAGACTAAGGAAAGGGATCTTCAGCCTGAAGCCAGTCTAGGCTATATAGGTAGTTCTAATCTGGGCTATATGACTGCCTGAAAACAAGAAGATACCAGACAGTGGAGTTCAAGGTCAGTATGTATACATACTGAAATTTGAGGCCAGCCAGGGCTCCATGAGAATCTGTCTCCAAAAAACAAAAACAAAACCAAAAACAAACAAACAAATAAAAAAACCCAAAAACTTAAAAAAGAATGTGAGTAACAAAATCCTCCATGCCATTTTAAGCAAGGTTTATAGATTAGGGACCACTGAGGCACAAAATGGCTTCCTGGTGTGCCACAGAAAAGAGGTAGAACCCGGGATCCAACTCTTTTCCCAGAGTTTTCTACCTCTGTGCTCCCTCTGGCTCTGTAGCTGAGGAGATGGAGGCTTCTCAAGATTCCATTAGTCTTCTTCACAAGATCCCCAGGGCAACCCCCTGGCCTCTTACCTGACAGACAGCTGGGTACTATGATGAATGGGAATAACCCCAGCATCAGCAAGCGTGGTTCCATCTTCCAGGCCTGTGGAATCTGGATGGAGCAGGAACTGGATGAATTCTCTGTAGTATGTTGGGTCAGCCTATTTCCTGCATCCTACTGGGAGGATGCCAGATTAAGGGCCCAGTCCTCTCAGACTGTCACTGTTGGCTTTCATACAATGTCAATGACCGTCAGGAGCTGTTCTATTTAAGCATTAGGCTGATCTGCTCAGCAGGAAGTTGAGCCTACTCTCTTCTGTGATCTCATGTAGGAAGCGTTTTTGATGACAATATAGTTTGCGGTAATTTTTTCAAACTTTTTTTTTTTTCAAGTTCAATTACTGGGAGGTGTGGGCTGTGTTTGGTGAGAAGGATCAGGCTCCACTTATGAATTCTTTTTTGTGCTTCACTCATAAAAGGAAAGGGAGATTCCCCAGCCATTGCAGGAGGGGTGAGCAAGCACTTCTTGGCAGTGGTCTCATTTAGGGTTTTGTAAACTGAGTCCCCTGGGTGGAGTTTCCCCAGAGGACTAAAAAGCCACTGAGGATCAAGAAGCCAGGTCACAAAAGGATGTGGAAAGGCAGCTTTTGTTCATCTAAATTGGCCTGACCCTGGAGCCCTCTTAGAAGTCTAGCTGGGTTCAAGGCTGTGCTGTATGTTTAGAGGATGATGACAAGCAAACACATCTGTATTTCTCCAGCCCATGCAAGATTGTTTTGAATAATTCTGATGCACGGTTCATTGCTCCAAGAGTGTGGGATCCACAAATGCTCCCGAGATGAGTTTGCAGTTGTGGTGGAAGACTTGAGTGTAACTTCTCTCAGGAGGCCTTTCAGAACCCTTTGTATTCTCTCATAGGGTCACCATGCTGTCTTGCTCCCCACTATTTATATGCTTTTTTTTTTTTAACCTGTAGCCTAGCTGCTGAACATCTTGTTTTGTGAACAAAATCTGATGAAATCTTGGTTTCCTCGATAAGTGCACACCGGCTTATAATCAGTAAGAGACCATTTATAGGAGAGTCACAGGCACTTTGAACTCCAGCAGTCTGAGGACCTTAGGTTAAATGACCATGCTGTGGGCTCTGGAGACAGGCCACAGCCAGTGAATTTTTGACATCACCACTGAACAGTACACAACACACATGGATATTCAACCATGATGCCTTAGGACATGTGAGCATGAATATTTAGCAAGCATACATTTCAAGCCATTCCCAACATGCTCTTAAGAGCACATGTCAAAGTTCTGTTTCAAACGTCCTGGAAATAGTTTTCATTAAGTCTACTTCAAATATTTATTCCTGACAAATACTTTTAAGGAAGAAAAGATAGTCTAGATGGCCCGAATAGATTAATTTAAGAAACATTTGTCTAAAGGTCGCTGTGTTTCTTCAGGACAGGTGGTTGGTCAGTCAACTGTATAAAGCCGAGTCTTGGCATATCAGGAAGCTGCTCAACTCTGTTATCAGAAATGTTTGGTACTTCTCAGAAGAAAGGGTATGTCATATCAGGCACCAAATATCTGACCCAGATTGCCTCCTCTTAGGTTAGAAACAAGGCTTTTCTAACAGTACAGGGTAGCAGCTGGCTGGTGACCATGATAAAGGAGAGCTGGAGACACTTAGCATGGGAAAAGTTATAGATGAATATACCCAGGAAGTGTGAATGTAGCCTTTTCCGATGGACCCTGCAGCTTCACACCACCGTGGTCAGCAGTTAACCAGAAGTACATTTGAGTAGGAGGCTAGAAGAAGGTGGGGGCAGAAATGTCACCTGGGTTAATGGTAAAGAAGACTTTGAAGGACAGTCTAAGATGATTGGATCTGAGCCACTGATTGTGTCCAAACATGGTGGGGCATGATTCCAATGTGCTGGCCAGTTTTATGTCAATTTGACACAGGTTAGAGTTATGGGAAACGAAACCTCAATTGAGGAAAATATCTCTGTAAGATCTGGCTGTAGGGCATTTTCCTAATTAGTGATTGGTGGGGGAGGGCCCAGCTTAGGACGAGTGGTGCCCTCCTTGGGCTAGTGGTCCTGAGTGCTGTAAGAAAGAATACTGAGGCGGCCATGATGAGCAAGCCAGGAAGCACTCCTTTATGGCCTCTTCATCTTGCCTCCAGGTGTCTTGCCTTGCTTGAATTTCTGCCCTTACTGCTTTCAATGATGAACTGCTTTTTTTGGAACTGTGAGTGAAATAAACCTTTTCCTTCCCAAGTTGCTTATGGTCATGGTGTTTCATCACAGCAATAGTAACCCTAACTAAGACACCCAGGAACACCAAAACTGGTATTGGTATGCTGGGAAGAGTAAATTTTCAAGGAGAATGGAGGCTGAGAGATGCTAATAAGACACTCCAGGCATTAAATAATAAATACCTAAATGAGTTTATTATAAATCCAAATAACATGGAGGCTTGCTGGCAGAGTATTTGTACAGGGAAAACAGAATGCGGGAGGCAGAGAACCGAGGTTGTGGGCATTAGCAGAGGTAAAATTCACTGACTTGAGTTGAGCACATGAATGGGTTGAGTTCAGGTATTAAGTGTGGATGGTAGTAAGTGAGCAGCAGAAAGATGGATTAGCTCCACTAACAGAAAGAAGTTCGGGTCAGCTTGGGCAGTTCCCCCATTCCCACTGTATGGGATGGTCTTTGAAGATTATCTTTTTACTGTCCACCAGAACATTTGATTCCTAGTCTCCCCCATCCCCACCTCACTTGACTTTTCACATAGAGGTTTTGCTGATGAGAATCAAGACTAGAGAGGAAGATGGAAAGGAGCTGAAAGAGAAGGTGAGGAGAAAAGTCACCCCCCCTTCACTCCCTTTCCCTGCCCCCTTGCTTTGCCACAGTCACTTCAGAAACATTGCCAGTCCCAGAGAGCATAGAGGAGCCCAAGAAAGGAAGGAAGAGGATGTGCATGAAGGATCGAATGAAGACTGGAGACATGAATGGCATAAGGCAGAACTGCTCAGAGGGTGGCATGTTCTCTTTGCTAGTGAGGACCACATTTGTTCATTCTTCTCTATTGCAGATGGCCTCACCCTACACACAAAAGGGTACTAGGATAAGAATTCTACTGGATTCTTTTTACCTTCATATATGAAGCATTTTAATGTTTCCATGAATATGTTTTGAGTCGGAGCCCTGGTTTTCCTGGAACTTTTGTAGAGGAGACTGGCCTTGAACTCACAGCGATCCATTGCCTCTGTCTCCTGAGTGCTGGGACTAAAGGCATGCACCACCACACCCAAGTTACATTTCCGTTGATTTTTTTTTTTTGTAGGTAAGTTTAAAATATTCACATAAATTGTTTTGACACAGATATTTTGTATAATTTGTCATCTCTGTTTTCTGTTTTTTTGTTTTTTTTTTTGTTTTTTTTTGTCATATTACGATGTTTTTTATCTTCTATTCTGCAGGTTAACTTTGCTTTTATTTTCTCTGATTCTGGAAGGCCCGATGCCCTACTTTTAAAAACAAATAAAAACTACTCTAATGTTTTTCTTTAACATTTTCATAATGTTGGACCTTTTGTTGCTGTTTGTCTTGTGGCTGGGGATGGAACCCAGAGCCTCACATGTGCTAAGCACATGTCCTATCATGTTACATGTTCTATTTCTGAGTCATAGACCTCCAGACCAAAGCATTATTTTTCCAAAGACTGAAAGTTAGTGCCTTACTCTCCTATGAGGTGAGGCATTACACCTCAGTACATATGTGCAATGTGTAACGGCGTGGTCTGCGATGGTATTTCCATCTCCTTGAATTCTTCCATTCCTGTGTACTGGGAACGTGGAGATCCTTCTCTCATAAGCTTTGTAGACTACAGTTATTCTACCATGCTACACATTAGAGCTGCTCTATTCCTTCTAACTGTATTTTGGTAACCATTAGATACGTTTCAAAAGACATCTGCTGGGGGTCTGGAGAGATAGCTCAGGGGTTACAAGCACTATCGGCTCTTCTTAAGGATCTGGGTTCAGTTCCCAGCATCCACCCAGCAGCTTTCAGCCATAACTCTAGTTCTAGGGCATCTAATTCCCTCTGACCACCAAGGCACCACACACATGGTGCATTTACATACTCACAGCAAAAGACTCGTACATATAAGAAATAGAAATAATGGGGTTGAAGAGTTGGCTCAGTGGTTAAGACCACTGACTGGTGTTCCAAATGACCTAGGATCGGCTAGAGCTATGGCTCAGAGGTTAAGGGCACTAGCTGCTCTTCCAGAGGTCCTGAGTTCAATTCCCAGCAACCACACGGTAGCTCAAAACTATCTATAATGAGATTTGGTGCCCTCTTCTGGTGTGCAGATGTATATGCACACAGAATATTGTATACAAATAAATAAATCTTTATAAACTGTAACTAAAAACAAACCCAAAGTGAATAAACTGTAATTAATATTTAAAAATAAAAAAAATATTACAAAAAGGAACCAGGTTCAATTTCCAGCACCCACATGGCAGTTCACAAATGTCTGTAATTTCAGTTCCAGGGGATCTTGACACCCTTACACAGACATGCATGATCAGTTGAATTATTTGATCATTATTTTCAGTTGTTAAGACATGGTTCAAAGACAGGGCATAGTTTAGCAACAGAACACTTGCTTAGCATGTATGAGGCTCTGATTCCTAGCATATCTGTCTCTCTCTGTCTTTCTCACATGTTTAATGTGGTAGGCAAGACTTCACAAATTAGAGATACAAAGAGCAAGAAGATTTCCCCTATAGAAAAGATGAGGAAGGGCTGGGAGATGGCTAAGTGGATGAAGTATACTGCCACACCAGGGTGAGGACTGGAGTTCAGAGCTCTAAAATCCGGGTTAAAACCACCAGGCAGGCATGGTAGCTGCTTGTAAGTCCAGCACTTAGTGGATGGGAATGGGATCCCCAGAGCAAGCCGGCTAGCTAGATCCTCTGAATCAGGGGAGCTCTGGGTTCAGCCAGAGACTTGCCTCAGAACATGGAGTAGAAAGTGACCTGGAAAGCCATCCGATGTCAAACATGCACGTGCACAATGTACACACACTCAGGAGCTCAGTTACCCACCTACATGCAAACAGTCCCACACGAATGCACTCCA